TATAAATAATAAATAAATATAAATAATGATTTGCTACTTCAAATGAGGGATTTTTGCCAATACATCATGTAACGATGTACAATCAAATTTTAAGTTGTTTTCAGATGGTTGATTTAATATAAATACGCCTACCAAAAGTCCTCCCTCAAAAATCAGAACGCAATCACTGAAATATAACTACCAAACAACATATTCAAACTTCATATTCAAACTTTATATTCAATCTTAAGAATTACTCAAAATGTGCGACGACTGTAGATGCGGAGACTCTTGCCAATGTGCTGGTTGCAATTGCACCAAATCCAAAGTTTTCGTCAATAAACAGGTTGAAACTGACCCTGGCTGTGGTAACAGGTAATTATTGCAAAAAGGAGTTCTGATACGATATGAATAATTCTCGTACTAATAACTCTTATACTTTCCGTCCATAGCACCTGCGAATGTGGAGAAAATTGCAGCTGCTCTGAATCGAGTTGCAGATGTTAATTCTTTAATGATCACACCTTATAATTATATTGCAAAGCGATACTGTTCGCTCTTTTATAGCAATATTGTTTTTTCTTTTATAGCAATACTTTGCTCTTTTATGATGGCATCTTTTTACCATGTCAGATTTCGTATATTTTTTATTTTAATTTATTCTTTTTGTAAGAATGAAATTCATTAGCCCTCTGATATATATTTTATTATGTTATATTATATGTCCTATTTAAAGTAAATTTATTGATGTAGTTCCAGAATTTTTTTAAATCAATAAATATCATAAATAACAAGTTCTATTGTTAATTTTCGTGCGTAGTAAGTTTTCTGTCACGCCTATGCGTATGTCTGTGCATACGTACGTACGTTGTGTTTGATAGCAGATATGGTAAGCCAGGTTGATTACTAACCAACGAGAAGAATGTTGTTGAAAATAAGTGAATAACGATTAGAATGTAATGTCATTGCAACATATTTCATGACACTAAAATAAATAGTAAAAATTGATATCATTTTTCGTACTGACCATAGCATCATTCCTTAAATCCACGCATATACTTTAACTCGATGATGATGTTACAAATTAGCTATTTATATCCATCCAGTTATTACAATTATATTAACAAGATAAAGTGCGTGTTAATGCAGGGGTTGAGAAATAGTTAAGAATAATTTATAGTAGAAGGAAAAATTGCATTTGGTTAATATTCTAAAAGAATAAGAAAATATCTTGAATGGTTATATTAGAACAGTAAGTATATACTGGTGAACCTCACAAAACCGATATACATAACAGACAAATTTTGTATCAGTATTGGGAGGTTATCAGATTTGAATTATTATAAACTATTAGATTATATAACAGAAACAGACTTGGTAGACTAATTTTTTATCATATTTGACAGTTAACGATTTTGAGAGGTTCAACAGAATATATAATAAACCTCCATAAGTGCACCCTCTATAAGTGCACACACTCTAAATGCATGCTCAAGTTCTGGCCCAAATATTTACACGCCCTTATAAATGCGCTTACTCTTATTGATCTTTAAGTGCACGTTGTTAAAGCTTGGTCTCAAGATCGCGCACTTATATAGGTTCTACTGTATATACTCAATAATAAAAAGAATAACATTAGAGCACAGAAATTTCAATAAAGAAAATACCAACAAATTTGTTATGAAAAAATAAATTCCTTTTGTATCGGTCATAATTATAGAACTATAAAGATACAATTTATATAAGAAGTCTTTTGATAAAATTTTTCTTAATTTTAAAAAAGAAATTTTCTAATAAATTATTTATTTTCAATAGTTAAAGCTATTTTTGTATTGTATAAACTAATAGAAATCAAAAATAATTTTAAATATTTAAATTAACTATGCAGTTATTAAGATACCTTTATTCAAAAGCATGCAAATAATATTAATCTTTAAAAGGATAAATTTGATTGTTAATAAACTAATATAATTTTTTAGCCAATTGGATGGTGTAATATACATAAAATTTGCCAATCACAGTAATTTAAAAGGCACAATAAAGTTTTTTTTTAAAAAAAATTTATTTTTATATTTGAATTTTGTTATTTTTATATTTGAATTGTCAATTGACCAGATATCTTTATTAAAAAAGTTAAAAAAATTTGGCTGCAGCTTTTTTTTTATAGATACTTAAATCATGAACGAAGTTTATTTAGCACTTACCTAGTTAAATTAGTTAATCTTTTTAATTTTATAAGTTCATATAATCAAATAAAAAATTAAACTAACTTTTACCAGGTAATTGTCTAGTTATCTTAACATAAAGTTTAGATGTCTTTAAAAAAGAAGCTGTACCAATTTTTTTAAAATTTTAATGAATATTTCTCGACAACTGGCTATTCAAATTTGATCAAATTTTTTTATTTTAATTATATGAATTTATAGAATTTATAGAATAAAAAAATTTCATCAAAATTAAACGATTTGTTGTTGTTTAAAGCTAAAGAAAGAAATTTTTTTTTCTAGTAATTATGTTGTTCTGAAAAAAAAATTTTATCAATTATTTCTTGATATTACAAACAAACAAAATTTTTATTTTAATTCTACAAAAATGATAGAATTAAAAAAATTAACGAATTTGAGAAATTATTGATATATGATTTAACAAACTAGATCTTCGATTTTGTTTATTGCTATTTCTTTTTTAGTAGTTTTTATTACTTGCACAAATAAGTAAAGTCTTTTAAATCTGTAGATAGATGAATTTACTCTACAGTTCTATTGAATTTTTAAAGTTATAAAACCTTACATTAGTGTAGGGCTCTGATCGAATAAAGGTTTATCTTATGCCAAAATTTTGCAAAGAAATTTTTTTGTTAGCGCGTAGAGAATTGATTGGCAGACTTGCGGCGATATTGTCTTACTAGGGTAGCTGGTATGTACCATCTAATATATCTAATTTAGAATCGAGCGAAGTTGCCATCATGTGCATTCGCATTTTGTAGTCATGTTCGAATAAATTTACTCTGCAGCAACCTCAACCGAACTGCAAAATGCCTAATTAACAACTCAATTTCTTAATAACATTAATAGGAAAATTGTAGACTTTCTTCAATAAAGAATAAGCGTAGTTTAATATTCTAAATAATGTAGCATTCAACTACTGTCACATCCTTCATACCTCATGCAAAAACAGCTTTATCCTATACGATATATAATTAATGTCTGAGATAACCAAAATAAATAGAAATTATATGAAAGAATAAAACAAAATGACAATTCCATTATTAACTCAATAATCAAGATTACAAGGTGTTAACTTTTACAAAATTGCTAATTAATAATGGTAATATTAGTCTCTAAAACCAAAGGAATAGTAGATTATGTTATTTTCTTTTTTGAGATATTTTGATCATGAAGTCATGGACTTGGTTAGTTGTCCTATAAACATATTTAATTGATTCATTGTTTACTAATTCAATATTATACTTTCTAAAAAATAATATAGCTAGTAATTTTAGCTCAATTAATGCAATATTTCTTCCTGGGCATATTCTTAAACCACCACCAAATGGCACGTATCCATTCTTGCACATATTGCTAAATTCGTTGGTGCCTCCGTGTTCTTCACTGAGAAATCGATCTGGATTAAACTTCATTGGTTCGTTCCAATATTTAGGATTATTCATTATTCTTTGATTATCAATCAAGAACCATGTTCCAGGCGACCAATGAAATTTATCAGTGCTATCATCACCATTAAGCACACGCAAATTGTATGGAACAGGGTTTGAACTACGTAAACTTTCTTTAACCAATGCATCTACATAGCGACATTTTTCAAGATCTTCGTAAGTAACCATTGCGTTTGTATCTGATCCAAATATTTTGAAAATTTCTGCACAAAGTTTCTCATGATTTAAAGGATTTTTGGCAACATTATATACAAGAAAGCAAAGAGCATTGCTGGTCTATTGTTAAATATTGATTAAATATTAATTAAATATTGATTAGCATTTATACATTTGATTTTGATTATTTAAATATTTAATACCGTCTCAATAGAAGCAACAGTGATTTCAGCAAGGTTGGTTTCAATTTCTTCATCATTCATAGGTTGTTCACCTTCAATATATCCCTCAGAATTACTTGATGAATTAGTAATCAACAATAGGTCTAATAAATTAAAATTTGGTATCGATCCACTCATAATCTTATCTCTACGTTCTTGAATAATACTACGAATTGTACCATTCAAGAAAACGGATTCCTTTTTAATAGTATTAAAAAAGCCAAAAAACATAAAAATACTGATAATAATTTTTGGTACAAAGACTAAGAAAGCAACCATTATAACGTATTCAGCTGCAGCTCTGGAAATTGAATCAAATGATGGCAAGTTATATAGTGGTTGTCCAATGACAGTAGCGATTGTTACTTTTGCTTTATACAAAGATATCCATTTGGAAAAATCTAAGGTTATACCGTCATTTTTATCCCATTGCTTCTCATATTCCTCAAATATCTTTTGACTACTATTTTTAAATTCAATCTGGTGTTTTTTAGACATTAATACTTTAGTGATGAATTGCCGACTTCGTTTCCATTTATGAATATCATTATTAAATACTACGCCATTTTGTATTCCAACCTCATTATAAACAGCAACGCCACGTTTAGAAAACATTACTTCCTTAGATAAACTCTTTGACTCATTATATGACAAATATATTTTATCAACATATTTTGCGTCGCAAGGAACTATAACTCGAAAAGGGCCAGCATAAAACTCCCAAATGTCTATAGAATCATTTAAATTTTTTTCAGCCCATTTATGAGGCTCTAATCCAATCTGAAGAAGCGTGCCAATAAATGGTAATGGAAATGGACCAGGAAGAGGGTTCGGACGAGTGAAATAGCTATAATAATAGTATGTAAAATATAAAAAAAGAATTATTCCTATATAGAAGTTATGATTTCCATTATTTCAACGAATACAAATTTTTTTTTTTAACTGAAATTTTAATTTTTATATTTGTGAAATATGACTTTCAAAAGGTATTTATAAAGTTTTTATGCTATTTGTAACACAGTTTACGTTCTGTTTACGTGTATCTGGTATGTAAAAATACATACATACGAACGTATTATAATAATTATTTATTAAGGAACTGAATGATATTGTAAATTTCACAGAATGTATGGTTATACGTTCTTGCTGGCAAAACCCGGACAAATCTCAAAAAACGAAATTGCTTTTATAAAAAATTAATATTTTGTAAATATATTATATATAGCTATAAAAAATATACATCATTTGTTTAAATGAAGATTGTTATATATAGCTATAAAAATATATCTCATTTTTTAAAGTATTTGAGATATTAGTTTGGGCTCGAGTTTGGGATTTGGGCGTAGATAAACCCAAACTATAATAGTTTTGGATTTGGGAGGAAAGTATAGCCTTCAAGAGCATGTGCAGCACTTTCTTCTAAACCAGGGCACTTGCGCATGATTGTAATACTGCTTGTTCTAAAACCTGTTCTATTGCAGCACGTGCAGTTAATTAAATC